AAAAAAAAACCCCCATCCTCATAATGGAATCGCCCTCTGCCTGTAACAACAAAACACCTAGCCACTACATTGCAATCTCCGGTCAGCTGATAAAGTAAAAAAACCCATGAATAAGTGCAAGTGTAAACGAGGGAATGATTACAGTCGTGTGAGAAGTTATAAGTGTAACTGGTTTTCACAAGTTAGATTGACAGTGGCGGGCACGGTCCTTGAAGATTCTGCTCCACTGCCCCTGTTCTGTAGGTGTGGGTGCTTACGTGTAAGTGTGCATATGTACATACATGATTCGTGTTCTTGTGCATGGGCACTTGCTCGAATATGTGTGTGCATGTGTGTGTGAGGTAGGCGAACATAGTGAGTGTTCGGAAGGAAAAAATTAGACAAAGAGTCTACCGTTGTTCTAAGGTTAAATGACAATTACAACAAATGACATGACAGCCGAGTAGGACATCAGTACATGTATTAGAGCAACATTATTATTATCATCAATCATCATAATTATGCCATTGCCTATTATGTGGTACGTGGAAAGGTATTACTTCTGTTGTACACCCCACAATTCATGGGCTAATTCTGCACACACAATCATGACACATCCAAACAGGAATAAATGCAGCGGTAACCAGAGTGAAAACACAGTGCATGGTACGCATGGGTTTAAAAATTAAAGATCCCTTTAACACGGAGGACATCTGAGGTGTGACCTCTAAATCTAATTCATCACCAATAGGTGGAGAGCCATGCGATAAAATTCCCAAACAACTAAAGTCCATGTCAGGCGCTCAATAGTAGGTCATCAACACTGTAAGCCAGTATGATACCGTTTGGTCGCTTTTATGCACAAGGGGGCTATCCCGAAAAATGCTGTTTTGAGAAAATCGAAGGTAAAGTTTTTGCCCCTTGTTCAGTTTCTAAAAAGACAAGGAGAGTTTTCTCTATAACCAAACAAATATAGACAAACTTCTGCTATAGGCAGGGCAATGCCCACTTTTGGTGTACCGTATGTCAAGATTTCTGGAACCCCCCGAAATCTGGGTTAACCCGCTTGTCCTTAAAAGCGACCATTTCAGCTAATGCCATGCCCTACCTGGCTACAAGAACCAATCCCCCCCCCCCCACCCCTCAAAAAAAAAAAACATGTCGAAGGCCTAGGGTGAAATGGTTCCATCTACAGACATTATCACTTGAGACTTAGGTGGGGGGGGGGGGGGGGGGTTTCACAGCGAGGCAGCAAAATTTCATCAAACATCTGTATAGTATAACTAGAGGGCCAAGACAGCTCTGTTTCCAAGCTTAAGTTTAAGTAAGAGTTTTACTGCACTTGCAACACAATAAGGTCATATAAGTGCCGAAGATTAGAGGTGTTACAAGAGAGTAACATACACAAAAAAAGGAGCAGGGGAGATGTTTCCAATCTGCTTGGAGCAGACAGTTACGTGTATAATGTGTGCAACTACGTATTGTACTTATGTTGATCGTTACATGTTTAGATACAAGTATTTTTGTTGTCAAATGTATTAAGCTATAACATGTGTAGCCAACATAATCAGTCAAACCTGCCTTATTGGAAACCTATCACAACGGAATCTCTCCGTTTCCCCCTTGATAAATTCCTCTATAAAAATGGAAACCTGTCTAACGCGGAAACAGAAAGAGGAATTCTTTTTCTTTGGACGGTTTTACCTGTCTATGATAGGAAATGCTTTGCCCACTCAGCTCTGGTTTGAAACAAAACTGCAAGTTTGGTTCCATAAGCTCTATCCTTTAGGCCATGCTGCCAGGTGAGGACAGGGGGTGGGGTGCGACTTGGGGGGAGTTAGCCCATCCATTTGATCCCTCAGCCGTGCAAATGGTCAGGGAGTTGTTTGTGGGTATGAAATCTCACCAGTGCCAGTGAAAATGTTCTCGTGGCACTCCGGAATGGAAGCTTTCATGGGTAACTAGGGACCAGAGGTGTGAAATTAGTTCAGCCAATGCCTGCTGTCCAGATTGTACAGCAAGACGAGAAAAGTGGTCCTCAGTTGTTACAGTAGTTACATGCACAGGAAGGGTGATATTGATAGGCTCTGCTTATCACACCCACAAATGGAGGCAAGGGTGGAAGCAAAGGAGATGTTCAAATGTTTCCGTTTTTAAAAGGACAAACATTGGTCCTATAAAATGCAAGCACTGGCAGCAGTAGATAAGTAGGACTGATGCATGCCATTATCAGAGAGGATAACACTTGAGAGGCGTGAAGTTTTGACTACTGCTTGCCAACCAAGCAACCCTCGATCCCACCGACTGGGCCTTTGGAACCGCCCCTTCATCTCCCCCTAAAATCCTCGATCTAAAAGGGAATTTTTCTCTGGCTCCCTTGCGATTCTGTCTTACACACAGGTTTGAGTGTACATTTGTCATAATGTGTATTCAGCCATATGCACTTTTGTTGTAGATGTAGTTGTATAGTTCCTTGCGCACATTACAAGCATAGCTACATCATGTGTTCTTGTTGTATATATACTGCATAAAGCTCATCATGTATAAAGCTGGATGTTTTGTTTTTTTGGTAGTAGAAAGCATAATGCCTAATAATGTTAGCAGCTAAACAAACTTTAATTGTAAAGTGCATTTAGTACATTACGGTATTAGACAGACATCACGTGCCTACTGTTGTACCATACATGTTTTGGGCATATCTTCACTTTGTGTATTTATAAAAACAATAAACATTGTTGTAAGCTGTAAGAAACTTGTGATGAACATTTTCTAATGAGAAAACAGCTATTTCACACTATTTGTTTTCCTTGTACTGCACATTTGAAAGATTGACTGCCTGAAAGGAAATGTTTTTAACCCACATCAGCACAAATAAGATCACTTGAGATGTGGGCTGAATTGACAGTGCCTATAAGGGACAACATGGGCTGATTGGAATTCAGCATCTCAGTTGAAGGACAGAAGACACCCGATGAAACAGACATCCCTATGGGGAATTTGGACTCCGAACTTTAGCAAGCAGTGGGGAAAAGCCTGACCTTTACTCCTCTTAGAGACTTGAACACTTTGCATAACTACTTTGAAAAAACCCCCAAAAATACTAAACAATATATGATATAGTAATATATAGGCCTTAATGTTTAAGTTTAATTAAAATGCTACAAAAAATATTGTGAACTCCTTTTGATCCTGCTTTACAGTGAGAGCAAAACTATTTGGAGCATCATATTTCTTCTATAGAAGTAGCACTATGACAGAATGTAAATATGTCACATTCAAACTCTCATACCATACAAATAGGTGTCCATATCAGCAGGTAAGACGTAAGCCCTGTTAGGCACTTACTTACCACTGCCTGTCACATAGAAAACAAACACATTTCACGAATACTGGCCGCGGTGAGAGTAGCACAATGTACAAATACTGAGTGAAGATTAAGACACTAAGATCAAATAGTTGGGTTTTGAAACAGAAACATGAGAAGCTCCGGTTCGTACACTTCCTGCAGCTCTGAGTCATTACCGGACCAAAACTGCCCTAAGAACTTTTAGGAGAAATAGATCATTTTGAATAATAGGGAGGCATATCACAACAAGAAAATCAATAATTTCATACTGGGAAATTGCAGACAGGCCAGAAAAGCATATATTTTATGACTATTTTGACATAATTTATATCATTTACTAGGCTGGCGGCTTCAACTTATTGAAAACTCCCTGTCAATGCCAACACGCCCTGCTTCATAAAATAACTTCCTGACGTGGGAAGGAATCAAACTCAGGTTTTCTGCATGCAACAACAAAGAGACCAACCATTCCATCACAGATGCCGGTGAAAACAGACACAAACAACAAAGGATTAATGAAAAAAGTAAAGCCAACCAGAAACAATACCTAGCCCCCCCCCACAGTAAGACATATATATGAATGGCACCCTCTCAACACCCCCAGAAAACACTTTAAAAGTTTTTTGAGTCTGAAACAAGAAGGACAGTGAGAAACTGCAGAAGGAGAGAAAAGAAGTAGAACCTACTGGTGGTGGCGCCTTCCTATCACCTCACAGAAAATACTTCATGCAGCAGAACTGATGCGAGTAAACAACTACACATCCTTGGGAATCCCAGTCACGTACTGTAGACAGCAGAGTCATCCACAAAAACATCAGTTACACACACTCTTGAAAATGAACATTTGGGTTGCTGTTGAATTATTCAAAATGTAAAAAAAACACAAAAACAACCAGAGATGATCACAAAAGGATGAGGCTCACACTTCACACAACTTCTCATTACAAATACTTTAGCAATCCAGCTGCAGAAAAATTTCGTTTACCATTGGAAATACAGTGTTGCATCATTTTACGGGCAGACTGATGTCTCTGTGACTGCCAAGTACTCAATAGCAGCCAAATAAACTGAAGGAAATAAAATCACACATTCCAGAGTGCACATTTTCCTACCCAGTATAAACAGCATGTAACAAAGCCACTCTTTAAAAACTGCCTAAACATTGACGCCAGAAAATCTTAAAATATAGGAAGATTAAAAAAGAATACCCGAAAATCCAGACGTAATATTTTGAAAAACGAAAAAAAAAATAGAAAGCTCTAGCTTGGACACACATGTTTTGTAACGTACCTTCAAGTTTTTATTTCGTGTTATAAAAGTGCTCAATGTGCAGCTCGAACAACATCAAGCCGCTATGAGAATTCCTTCCAAACTTGCCCCAGGATGTCTCCGTCCACCTTGTTGAATTTGAATGAAGGTGTTATTCGATCTTTCATATCATCGATATTTGCTGGAAGTGGTGGAACATAAACTTTGTCTTAAACAAACCCTCATAAAAACTTGAAGGTATGTACAAAACATGTCGCCAGGCTAGAGCCTTCTATTGTTTTTCATTTGTGAACTATGGCGTGATGATTTTGGCGTATTCTTTTTTAATCACCCTGTATATGTACATTTACTTACACACACACATTTATCATAAGCTGATTTCAAGTAGCCCATAAGACACAAAATCTTTTTTTTTTTGTCAAGGAGAGCACAAAATGGAAGCATTCTAATAATTTGAGTCCTTTCTTGGAACAAAAGTGTATAATCTTTAAAAATGGTTGAAATTTCACAAACACGTTGGACGGGTAATTTATGTGTCAATGTGTCAAATAACTACGAATCTCACTTGTTTTTTTGTGTGGGTTTTTAAAAAATCAAAAAGAGGAACAAAGGTTTCTCCAACTATGCCACCCATATTGGGACATCCTTCTTTGCATCATTTATTTTCTGACAGGTTAAGAATAAGACGTTCCAACCTGGAAAATGCTTTAATTGTACTAAAACATAATTTAACATTCACATGCTAGGGGCAAACACATGCACATACTTTGATCTAACCTTCAATATGTATGCCTCTAGATGCTCACACCACTCAGATCCCATTTCAAGCTTGCTCGACACATGTGCAGCACATCTGATCTACCACGACATACCAGTACACATACACAGCTCAGGACAACGGAGTCAAACACTGTGCAGCCAGAACTAGGTGGAGTCATTGTTCAACAGAGATGGAAAATTGCACTTTCTGAAAGGGATGGGACTATATGCTTACACGCACAGGCACACACACACACACACACACACACACACACTATGGCTTTGTCTTGATCAAAGAATTGCACATTTACTGATAAAATTTAAAATATAACACACCCACAGAGTTCTAAAAGTAACTCTGAATGCAAATCTCCCAGTACAGAGATGAGAATAGTCACTTCAAACACTCTGTATTTATCATTCTGTCAAAACTATTACTTGAGATAAATGTTTTGACGAACAGTTTATAAGACAGAGAGTGTTTTCGAAATCACAATATATCATCGATGTTAGGACGCATAAGTGTAGATGAGCCACTGGTAGACCTGACAACCAAAACTTTGGTATTAATCATATGTTCATTGGATGAAACACACCCGATTTCTTGGCAAGGACCATCAGCTAAAAGTTGCCTATTTTATTTCCAGAAAGTCAAAGTAAAAGAATTATAGTACTGATGCATGTATAAAACCTCCTCATCCTAAAATAACAAACAGAAAGTTCTCCTATTGACAAGCCCCAATGTGGTTGCCTGACCCATCGGGCAAATTTTAGGGTACCAAAGTGCAAGGTTACAACACAATAAAAATGCACTCTCTCCATCCAGTCAAGCTGGGTAAGCTTCAGTCTATCCAGCTGGATCTAAATGAAAGCAAAAGTTATTTGTTGATATATAGTGATAATATATTGAGGTGTTAAAATAGCTCTGTTGAAAATCTAAAAAAAAGAAATCTGTTGAAATCAAAGCTACACAAAAACAAGCGCAGCACCAATGTCGATTTATATAAAGCGAATTAAACAGCAATGCTTCTCATAATTGAAAACCTAATGCAAAGAAAATCACCTGCAAATTGCAAATATCTTTTTCTAAAATTAAAGAAACAGTTAACATTAAAAAAACATTCAGAAACAAAAATATTCTCAAGAGTAAAACCGAGTAACATCTAGGAAAAGAAGACCTAGGCCTACTCCAAATTGCGAGACGTATGGTGGCCATGAAAACACATTGTAATTTGAAGGGAGAACTGTCCAGGTCTATCAGTTATGAAATTTTCAGTGCCTGAATTTCAGGAACCTCATATTCACATTTCTCATGATCTGACATTTCAACATTTTTAGTGAAGTATGTGGTCTGCTCATACCGATGAGACAATGACAAATATAATGTCTGAACTTACGACTGCTAGTCAAATTTACACCTAACACCAAAAGATACTTTATACCCAACAATTTTCATTAATCATTTCTGCACCTGAGTGAAAAGGCTACCATTTTTCTTCCTGACAAGGGTAGCTCTTATGTCGTGGTAGCAGTAATGAAAGTCACACATTGTTATGTCTGTGCAGAACTGGATTGGAAATCTGGAACTGAAGATGGGTGAATAACATGAAGATGGGTGAATAACAAATGAAAAATGTCGAGGCAAAAAGAAAAGTGCCCTCCGACATCCACTTTGTGTGGATGTTACAAGACTGGAATGAATGCCTGGCTAATGATGGAGCAATTTGGTGGAAACAAATACACATGTCTTTAAAACGCCTAAGAAAAAAAAAAGTAATAATAAATTCCAAGACCAACTTGTCTCTGTCAGTACAATTTCAGGAACAACAGAGAATACACAACTTGACGCCAACAGAAACAGTTTTAAAAACTTTGTTCTGAGTAAGTGATTGACTCGGTGAGATAGAGTGAAAAAACATAGAGGAGAGAATAAAGAGAGTCTACAAGTTTACTAATCCAGTGAGACAGGCAGAACAGCTCCTAGTTTTGGACCAAGAGGACTTTTTATCTAACGGACTTGAAAATGTAGAAAGCAAATTTAGTAAACAATGTCATTAGATCTGATGACCTGAGCTAAACATAAATTGCTTGGCCCACTACAAGCAACTCAAGGTAAGGTCTAAGGATATTTTCCCAAAATTAAAGGTCACGAACCACACAGGAAACTAAGCAGTCACAAAGAAACACTCCGATGAGAATATGTACACTTATGGAGAGTGGTCAGTCATAAAATTTAACATAAATAAAGCAAAGCTATATTCAACCTGTGGTCCGTGTCAGAAGGCGCCACCAAGCCACCCGGTAACAACACACGTCACCAAGCAACAAGAAAAATAAATTAACGACTATTTACAAAACAATATATAACTTGACATTCACAAAAATCTTGACAGAACAAGAACATATGGCATGTGGAGTAATTCAGCTGAACATATACGACATGGAAATCAAAGACAAAAGTAATATTTATTTAAAATATCTTCCCAAAACCCTTCCCTAGCAGAAAAAAAAAGAAAGCAGAACACTAGCACGAAAAAGAAACATAAAGCAAAAAAAAACAAAAAAAGACAACAACATTTTTACCAAAACAGCCCAAACATAAGTGTCTGATCACAGTATCACAATATCTCAATCTCTTACAGGAATATGCACGTTTAAAAAATATATTAAACCATCTTTTTCTATCTAGTCAGTAATATCTCCATTACATTGTATGGATCACCAACAGAAACGTTGACATCACCACCTTTATGCGAGCCTTTTGAAACCTTTTGGTCCCCTCCATTATTGCACAAAAAAAGCAATGAGGTAGGTTCAGACTCGAAACACAGCCAGTTTGCCTTTATTTATTCATTTGAGATTGCTGCTTCCCGTTACTTTTTCACTCGACTGCTATTTAACCCCTACCCTCTGGTTTAACTGAAACAACATTGATCCCATGCTAGTGCCAATGCAGGAAACAAAGAATGCTTGAAGACCCCAAGACCCACACGTAAACTAGTGAAAGAGGACTTTGACCCAGTAGAGAATCACTGGGAGAACACAGAGGATGGGACAGGAGGTCAACAAACTAATCTTGTTGTAAAGACCTCAGAGTCCAACCCACCCACATCTCAACTACGCAAACCTCCCTCTTATCAGGATGGTAACCAGTCTCAAAAAACAAACACAACAGCTTTTGAGTCAGGAGCAAAACAATACACAAAACCTTCAAGTTGAACAAATCTCTAACAACACATCTTTCCCTCCATGGGGTAAAAAAAAAAAAGTTATCTGGAATTCCAGCTACGTCCATTGAGCTCTCAACCCTCTCTGCTTCTCTTCTCGAGTAAGCCACTACAGCCAGGCACTGCGCGGATTGTATTCACTAGAGTCCTCTCTTTGTCTTTATCACTCTTTATTGCCTCCCTCCCCCCTGACTAGCACCTGCTGCTCCTCCTCCTCCTCCGTCCCCACTGACCGACCCCCTGGACTGACCACCACCCACACCGGCCGTCTGTTCTACTGAGCTGTGGGACTGGGCGGCCACAGTCTGTAGATTGGCCGGTTGGGACAGGCCGTTGGCCTTGCTGCTGTTGTTCAGGCTGCTGTTGAGCGGATTACTCTCCAGGACCATCTGGTGTTGGACTGCCACGGCCAGCGCAGCCGGAGTGGATGCGTCTGAGGGGATGGTCACCGCCGGACCTCGTCCTTCCGGCCCGCTCTGCTTGCTGTGACTTTGGGTACAGAAGGAGGAAAAGAAATTGTTATGTAGATGTTTCAGTAATAAGAATTCAGTCAAATTTGACAATTTGATGAAAATCACAATGGTGGCATTTTCAGGTCCATAAACTATTTCATCACAACAGGATGTTCATTAAACTAAAAAAAAAATAAATTAAAGTACCAATTCAGATGCATAATTTGAAATATGCTATGCTTTTCATTTTGACATTGTTCCCTTTCTTTCTCAAATTTCTGATTTCCTCAATTTTACTCCCTGAAAGGGCTGAAAATACTTTTATGTATACACCAAAGAAAATCTGGCCATAACACCAACTAACCAATTTCTACCAAAAATACTTTTATGTATACACCAAAGGGAAAATCTGGCCATAACACCAACTAACCAATTTCTACCAAAAATACTTTTATGTATACACCAAAGGGAAAATCTGGCCATAACACCAACTAACCAATTTCTACCAAAAATACTTTTATGTATACACCAAAGGGAAAATCTGGCCATAACACCAACTAACCAATTTCTACCAAAAATACTTTTATGTATACACCAAAGGGAAAATCTGGCCATAACACCAACTAACCAATTTCTACCAAAAATACTTTTATGTATACACCAAAGGGAAAATCTGGCCATAACACCAACTAACCAATTTCTACCAAAAATACTTTTATTTATACACCAAAGGGAAAATCTGGCCATAACACCAACCAACCAATTTCTACCAAAAATACTTTTATGTATACACCAAAGGGAAAATCTGGCCATAACACCAACTAACCAATTTCTACCAATCCTACAAAAATGATGTACCTTGAAAAGTTCCTCACATGCAGATGATTTTTTAATAACTACCCCCCCCCCTCTTATTTTTTGCCTCCAGTCTTTGCTACTATCAGACAGTGGATCTGACCTCCCCCAAGCAGTACCAGGGTCAACCTGGGGTAAGTGGGATACAGTATCCCAGGAGATAAGCAGACAGACTTGGTGATAACCTTCCCAACCTCAGAATAAACAATGTCTTCAGTGAAGAGCCAAACCATTAGACCACAGCCACGGGCACACAGGTTGCTGTAGAATACTCACCTAGCAGGAACAGAAGGATAAGAGGACTGCGTGGCAGTGGAGTACGTCGGCCCGTTCAGTGCAGGGGACAGGTCATTGGCTAAGGCTTCAACGGAGTTGTGGCCCATAACATCCTCGTCAAATATACGATACCTGAATGAACGATTAATTACAAATGCTCAATGCCTACATCAACACAATTTTGATCACATAAGAGTCAAGCAGGTTGCCAAAGCTAACCTAGGCTGAGTGGGATAGCCTATCCCTGGAGATAAAAAAATCCCCAAAACAATGGAGGATTTTTCGTTTTATTGCTTCAGTAAGAGTTTTAGGGCACTTGCAACACATCCACCCACTCCCTAAACAATCTGGACAAGTGATGGCTAAAATATGCCAGAGAACAAATGTGGAAATACCTTCAGGGAGAAAGCAGGATAAAATGAATCATTTTTCAGATGCTAGTGAGGAGAATAATAATAAAGTTTTTCATTTCTATAGAGCCCACTCCTGTCAAATACAGCAGAAGGCGTTTTTCCGTATCTTCTTCTTAACACAAAAAACAAATGCTGAATGCTTTGTGAGTAAAAATATATATCTTTTCATTCCAAGTATGTATGTATTATTCTTCAGCAGATATTCGACTCTTTGGATTGCATTTATAATAATGTGTCATTTTCTCAATGTATAGCTGGAATTTGTTATCCAACATCCACGTTTTGACATCATCAATGGCCCTGCCTATGTTTACAATTAACCGCTTTGTTGCCTTATGATGTACCTGGTACATCAGGAAAATGCCTAATTGTACGTCACGGAAGTTGGCAAAATTTGACGCTCCTGGTTGCCTGTATGACAGAGATTAAGCCACAAGCACTGCGTGAATTTGTGAATATTGGTACCAAATTTGCTAGTACTACTTCACTGCTACGCTTGCGATCTATTGATAAACACAGGTCTAGGCTTGCAGGTGCCACATGCTTTCACAAAATGTAAACACCAAAATGTCTTTAAAAAGGGAAAAAAAAACAACATTAACTCATTGAGCACCTCACCCCGATTTGCCTCCAAGCCTAGAGGACCACCAATTTCCCCCACTTTTCGAAAATTCATAAAAAATTGAAATGAAATGCTATTTCTTTGAAATTTTCTGTGCTATTTAATAAGATATGGGTTTAACGGACACAATAAACACATTGTGTGAAGAATGAACGACAAACACATAAATGGGACAGAAAGTTGGGACAAATTTGCCCCAGAAAAAAAAAAGGAAGTGATGTGACAAAGCAGAAATCTAATAAACTTAGACAAAATAGTTGTAGCTGAGTGTGTTTGTGTGTAGGAGAATGAAGCATGAGTGTGTACAGTGAAGTAGCATAAAAATGTAAGTGATAATTAATTTAGAAAAAGGAAAAAAAAATAAAAATCTGGATCTAGATCTAGATCTTCCACAGTGACTGGCTGAGAAGTGTTTCATTGTCAGTGTTGCTAGTGCTATGACTAGATCTAGATCTGTCAATAGATGTCCCTGGTCTGGGTACATTATATATCTTCTCCACTTTGTGGGCTGATTTGAACTAGAGTTTAGTACTGGGGCTAGATCTAGATCTATCATCAGTCCCAGCGGGACCAGGCTGCGGACTCGCTGATGAGTCAGATTCACGATGCTGGTCTAGATCTAGCTGATGTCATCAGTCATCTTCATCACTGCTAGGCGAATTCACATTTTGATTTATGAAGTTATCTATCTGATATTTCACTATCACTTAAATCTTCACCAAAATTATCGAGTTTCAATAAACTTCAACACCACTCGGCGTGCCGTGCTTCGCGTACGAGAAGCAACAACGAACTGCGAGGAAGTTCCTTACTTTCAGTTGTTCAGTCCGTTGGGCAAATAACTCGTTTATTCGCACTAAAAGTGGCGAATATACACAAACCACAAAGAACTAGCTTGTCGACATCCCGTTTAAACCACTGGGGCTATTTGCAAGCATTTTTAAACTGCTGGGTTTACTTTACAGTCAATTATAGTTGAACCCGCATACGCTGAGGTCGCGGTCCCCGACGCGAATTTTACCGAACCGCGTATGCTGCGGGAGCGGTGCTCAGTGAGTTAAAAAAGGAAAAGGCAACCCCCCCCAATTTTAAAATTTAGATATGCAATTTATTCGAAATTATGAGGGTGAGCTGGGGGGGGGGGGGGGGGGGGGGGGGGGGGGAGAATAGTGAATGAGAGAAGTGAAAAAAGTGACACAATCAGAGACCCAATGTCCGAAATATGTTGCGAGTGGACTAGATCTAGTATTTAAAATTTTTTTTTATGGTAGACGGTTTTACTGCGCTCGCAACTGCATAAGGTCATATGAGCGCCAATGGGTGGGTGGCAACAGAGAAGTCTTTACAGGGAATCAGACTTGGACTGCTCACCTCTCTAGCTTCAACAGCACAAGGTCTGCTTCGACTATCAAGGCACCCCGGAAATAGCAGGTCACAAGAAAGTGACAAACATACAAAAGAAGTAGAGGAAAATGACAATAGTAAGGATCAGGAAAGAAAAAGCAGCAATACCCTGTTGTAGATCAGGCACAGTTATGAGCGTGACATGAGTCAGCCCATTTACAATTCTATTATGCTTGAACGAGAAATGTCCCCCCTTTGGGAATGGCCTCAAGACACTACAGATCTAGATCTAGACAACACAACACATCCATTAACACTGAAACATGAGACTGCTGCCTTGGGTAACGAGCTCAGCTGAAAAACAGTGCTGACAGTAGGAACCCATATCCCCTGCCAGTGAAAGTGTTGATGAAACAACTTTACATTAGTAAGTGTTTTATGGCACTCGCAACACGATAAGGTCAAATAAGTGCCGAAGATTAGAGGTGTTACAAGAGAATAACAAATACAAAAAAGGAGGGGAGATAATGACGATAAATGTTTGATAGGAAAGAAGAAGCAAAATCCCTTCCACCCACCTAAAGCCGTACTCGTCCTCATACTCGTTGTTGTCATCATCACTCTCCTCATCTGGCGCCACAAACATGACTTGCAGAGTTATGTCCCCTTGCTGTTTGGATAGAAGCGTAAAAAAATAAAAATACACTTGTTAGTACTCTCAAGGGCTGAAACACTGGTTACCCTATGATTAAGACAGTGAAAAAGAAAAGAAATAAATTGCCATCACTAAACGTGACAACCATGAAAAACGTACTTACTGGTATATAAATACGCAGCATACACATATCATATTCATCAAGTAAAGACTGAACGATAGTGCTTGAATTATCTTAACTCTTATCCTGCGTCTGTGCCCAGATGCGTATCTTATCAGCAACCGATTACGTCGGACGTGCCGGGCAGGCCGCCGGGGTCACTCAGTGTGTACTGTTGGTGTACAGCGCGCGCGCCGGGAAACGTGTGTTTTCGCCATGAATACCGCGGGAGTGTGTTAACTGATGATGAAAATAACGCTCTATCCTACATAGCTTTCTATTTATAAAGTGTTATAAACACATGAATAACCCCCTCTCACAAGCTGATAAGACATTACGAGTAGTTACGCCCATTTGAATAACCTTTCTGGACGCTCTTGTTGTTATGAATGACCTGAGGCTCGAAAAGGGATAATTTAGGTCAATTTCCGAATGTTTTACACTCAAATTGTTCTTTGTACCTGCACAAGGGTATTCAAAACTATCAAACAAGCTCATTTTTTATCAGGTAGTATCATTTCATGCAAAATCAAGCTCATTTGAAATATTTTGTATAGAAAAATGGAAGTCTTGTTTCCTGACTATCCTTTCGAGCTCCTCATGTCTAAGTGGGTCAATTTCTTCTATAATTTCATTGGACGAACATCTAGAGCTATCAACTTGGCATGTTTTGAATGAGACATATGCCTCGATTACGAACCAACGCAGGTGGTTCTAGAATAAGGCCATAAACGCACACAAACTCAAGCAGACTGACGCACACACACTTGACCTGCGTGAATGGGGATCCGACTCGGGACCCGAATGACACGTAACAGGATGCGCGCTGCGCGTGCGCTGAGCCAGGAGCTACACTGACTCGGGACCAGAATGCAGGCGAGGTGCCGAAATAGGCTTATCGGGCTACATAAACCCGGCTCCCGCAGGATGAGGGTTAAGCCTGGTTCCCTCCTTAGCACAGGGAATCATGGCCATTGTAAAATTTGAGTTTATTCTTAAATCAGGTTTAACATGCTCCAGATCCCAGTGTTGGGGGAGGGGGAGGGGGGGAAGACAGAGCACCAAATCTTTTCAAAAAAAGGTAGAAACTGTGGAACTGGAAGAATGAGTATGGCATCCTTTAACAATAATTTTGGGACTGAATGTCGAAAAAGAGCAAGTCTACCTACACCAGCTCTCTTGGCTAAATTCAATATAAGTCTCCACTTTATACTGCAAAAATGAACTCAGAAGAGCACCTCTCGTAAATGTAGATAGCATAGCACTTTTAAAAGCAAGGAAGAGGAAGAAGAAAAAGGAGGAGGAGGAGGAGGAGGAGGAGGAGGAAGAAGAAGAAAACTTAATTACAATCCAGCTAATCCAAAACAGTGAAAAACAACCTATCATCACCACAACGCGCACCACAAACTTTTTCTTAAAACCAGAGCCTCCAGCAGCTGATGACATTTTTCCAGGGGTTAAAGGGGAACAGCGTGCCCCTTAAGTTTGAGATTTTTTTGTTTCATGGCATCCTAAGTGTATGCCATTTCTGGCTATTCAAGCCAAAATTCAAAAAGAAAATAAGTGAGAAAAAAAACATACCTTGCACATAATTTTCAGCTTGTGTTAATCCATATAAATCCAAGACTATGCTTTCTCCCTTGTACCAATACTGTACATCCATAACAGTAGTACAACAGCTAGATTAGATCTATAAAACTTGACAGTTAATGTTAAACTTTTTTCTGCTTGAGTTGGTTTGCAGTGTAGAATCCTATACTATAATAGTATAACAGTTAGATCTAGATCTAAATAACTTGACAGCTTGTATAGTCTGATAAAAAAAAAAATTAAGCTCTCTTTAGAGTTTTCTTTTCTCGGGGGGCCCAAGATCTATTGAACCACATTTCTTCCTCTTGTTTACAGTGCTGGTGCTCTGCTTCTTTTGCTTTAGAAAGTGAAAGACACTGTCTACACTCTCAAATAAAAGAGCACTTCCGGTATGGGTTGGCTATTGTTGACTATTAGTAATTACGGAAATTTATTATTCCGCACTTTTTGTAAATATTTTTTTAAAAATATTTTTTTTGCACGAATTTTCTCTGAAATTTTTCCACTTGCGGAAATCTACTAATTTGCGGTTGCGGAAGACTGAAACCACTATAAAAACATTCATGTAGAAAAACCCCCCCAACAAAAACACGATGAAATCCAAGTGATCAGGAAATCAGTCCCCTCCCCCCCGGACCCAGACCCGACATCCATGTTTGGTGAGACAAACAAAGACTAATTACCTGCTGAGATAAAGTCCTCACTGCTTCGGCGTGCTTGGCTTCAGCCAAATCTACGTCGTTAACGGACAAGATGGCATCCCCTACGTAGAGCTGACCACACCTCTCCGCGGGCTGTCCCTCGTGGATCTCGGAGATGAGGATGGGCACGCCGTGCTCCTTGCCACCCTGGGGAACAAACAACAACAGTGAAGTAGGGTCTTGTGTTACATGCCCACACCCTGGCAACTGGTGGATCTGCTGAATCCTGGGGGTGTGGGGGTGGGGGTGCAATGGTAAAAAGGGATTGAAACTGTTTTAACAGGGGGAGAAAAAGATAGACAAAGAAACCCGGAGGTAGTACACAAACAGTGTGAAAAAGACTAGACTTATTTTAGGCAGGAGTACATAGGAACATTCGGATGAGAAGTAATAAGAGCAGACCACACCTGAGTGTCCCTCCCACCAACACTCAGACTTTTGTGATGGATGGACAACACAAGCTGAGAGAGAGAAAGGGTGGGTGGGTTAGAGAGATAGAGATAGATAGATAGATAGAGAGAGAGAGAGAGAGAGAGAGAGAGAGAGAGAGAGAGAGAGAGAGAGAGAGAGAGAGAGAGAGAGAGAAAACCGTTGCCTGCGACGTAGCAGCTATCCGCCTCACTGTGGCATGCAGGAGTTAGATTCCCGAGTTGGGAGAAATTTGATAAAAATTGTTATTGAGTATCTCGGTCTTTCTATTGGGATGTTGTATCCCTCTCATCCCGGGCTGGCCCTGGTGGACACACACCCACCCACACACATTCACACACATACACATACACACACACACACACACACACATACACACATACACACACACATACACACATACACACACAAACACAAACATACACACATACATACGCACGTGTGCGCTCTCTCTCTCTCTCT